GTTATCAGCTACGATATCGAGGCCGGCGACCGGTCCCAAGATGAGGATGACAACCTCATCCACTGGGATGGCCCTGACGATCCTCAGAACCCCTTGAACTGGAGCGATGCTCGCAAGTGGCTTACTATCGGCCTAATCTCACTTAGCAGTTTTAATGTGTATGATTATCTTTTTCTGTAAACCTTATATTCCCCATGTTAGACACGCTAACACCATCCAGGTCCATGGTCTCCACCATTTTTGCCCCTGGGGTCCCGGAAGTCCTGAAGGAGTTTCATAACGAGAGCTCTTCTATTGCATCTCTCATGATCTCTATCTACGTGATGGGTTCCGCGGTGGGACCTCTCATCCTCACCCCGATCACGGAAATGAGCGGAAGGTTACCTGTCACGCATGGTGCAAACATCCTGTTTATGGTCGCGGCGATAGTCTGCGCATCCAGTATTGACATGTCCATGCTTATTATCTCTCGGCTAGTTATGGGCATTGCTAGTTCTGTGCCGGTAACGGTTGGAGGCGGCTTCGTCGCTGACATGATGCCCATGGAGAGACGGGGAACTGCAATGACAATATGGACTGTGGGTCCGTTACTCGTACGTGAATCCACTGATCTGCTCTACCAGTATTGGAAATTTACTAAAAATAATCCGAACAGGGGTTCGTAATAGGTCCCATCTTTGGAGGCTATATGGTAGAGAACATTGGGTGGCGGTGGACTATCTGGCTGGAAGCAATACTCGTGAGTACTGTCTTTATACCCTCGATTCAGACAAATCAAGATCTAACACTCGATAGGGAGGATTTGTTGTGATCGCATCGCTAATATGCCTTCGCGAGACCTATGCACCGACGATACTCCAGCGCAAAGCTATGAGCTTCCAAACGGCTACTGGTCGTCATTACCGCACCAAATTTGACACCGAACAGACAGCAGGCCAGATGATGGCGACTTCGTTGGCACGGCCGATCAAATTCCTTGTTCTGTCGCCTATTGTCCTGATTGTGTCACTCTACAGCGCCGTCACTTACAGCTACATGTACATTTTGTTCACTACCTTCACTGAAGTCTTCGAAACCGTCTATAACTTCAGCCCAGGCCAGGCAGGCCTTAGTTATTTGGGTCTCGGGATGGGCTTCTGCTTTGGACAGATCACGGTGGGCTACTACTCCGATCGACATGTCAAAAAGCAAGAGAGGATCCACGGCAAAATGAAGCCGGAGCACCGCCTTCCACCTCTTGTCCTTGGGTGTTTCCTGGTACCGATTGGTCTATTTTGGTACGGCTGGTCCGCGGAATACAAACTCCACTGGATAATCCCCATCATTGGAACCTTTTTTGTCGGCGCAGGGATCTTTTACGTACACCTCGTTACCCAGGTTTATCTGGTTGATTCTTATCCTCTCTACGCTGCCAGTGCTGTCTCCGCCGAGCTGGCCTTGCGTTGCATTTTCGGTGCCACTATCCCATTAGCTGGTACACCTTTATACGAATCCCTTGGATTGGGCTGGGGCAATACCCTCCTCGGATTCATTGCGCTTGCATTCGCACCGACTTCTTTCTTCCTTCTGAAGTATGGGGAAAGCATCCGGACCAACCCCAAATTCATGCCTAAGATGACTTAATTTCTGTTCTCTTGTTTGCATTTCTGAGCTCTTGGTTATCCTCCTTATTACTAAAGATTATTTGCATATATGTGGCGTATAAATTAATGCGATATGACAAAGAGCGTTTGGTTTCGGGGATTAGATCGATGCAGTGTCTAGCGATCATGCTTTTATCTTGTTCTTTTTTATCGGTTACAGTTCGGGTCATATAGACTGATGAAGAGCTACGAGCGAGCGATGCAAAATGAGAGTTTCTTTGCATAATCTGCAGATATCACAAATAGTCCACACTACGTACTAATTTCATTTCAATATGTTACCTCGCAAACAAAATGATCAGTATGTATTACCATAAAACATAGCAACAACTCTCCAGCAGACGGTGGATCCAATAAACAATGCAGATCCCAATAAATAGAAGATCTTTAGGGAATGTGGGCTCTTCCTAATAAGAACCCAGCAGGCCATACTGCAACCCGGGTATCCTCCCCCGACGACCCAAACGCACACCCTAGATCGCCACAGAACAACAAACCCCGATCATCCCACTAACCTTAATGATCCCCTCAAGCTAAGCATCGATGACATCCTTGGCGAAAAACGCCATGACATGTACCATCGGTGGAACGGGAATAGAATTACGTGGGTGGCTGGATCATGGATTCCAAAGGGATAAGCAATCGACCCATACCAGGTACATAGTCTAGGTAGTCTATCAAATACGTACATTACATAGGGGAGGGGAGGAAGGTGTGGAGCAGCGTGCAGCAACTAATGAATATCATCATCCCCTCCTTGGATGCGTGCCAAGAACGCCATGCAGTCACCTAGCATGCAAGTAGATCAAATATAATCCTACTGGTGGGTCCAACTTCCAAGGTTACACAACATATACAGAGTATAGTTCACCATGTTTCGGAGGCTTTATACTACATGTCAGTCCGCGTCAGCTTTCTTGGGACCGCTTTCGGCCAGCTGTGTTTATGCACTTGCCCTAGGGTTGGGGGTTGGTTCTCGGCATACCTTGAGAAATTTTCTGAGCCAATCCCGTCCGCTGGAATATGGTGAGAGACGATGGACTACAACGTGCAGTCGTTAGGCCTTATCGGATGACGAAAATTGGGCAATGGAAACTCTGGGAAGGTACGGAGAGGTTGTCGCCACTCGTTTGAATATCCTTTCGGGATTGAGGCGGTTTCACGCAGATGGAAGCTGGGAATTGCCCCTCTAATCACGGAGGGACTTTTATTCGCATGAGGTGGGCTGCCCTTTGTATGTAGGGCTGTGAGGCTATTCTTAGACATCTCGCAGCAGACTTTCAACTAGAGAACCACTGTATTAGTTTTCCAGTCATGATTTTCCACAATTTCGCATTGGTGCCGTTGTAGATGTGGATTGGCCATCCCTGCCGCTTACACTCGACTCTTAAAACCCATTCCTTGGGGGTAATTTGCGTCGTATTGTCGTCGTCAACCAGATTCGTTTCAGGTGGTCTCCAACAATGTCACAACATTACCAGACTTTGTCATCGGTATACAAGAAGCTTGATGACAAGTACTGGCCATATTGTGACGCACAGATATGAGAGTTGTTGTCATGATCTGTGCACTTCGTTCGATGAGATGATACTTCGCTGGTGAGAATTGCCATAAGCAAACGCTCTGCGGTGACGGAATTCTAGATCGCTTGCTTTCTTGCTGAGGCAGAAGAGATAGAGGCGACGCGTAGGCGCTAGGTCTAACTAAGTCCCCGACTTGAGACGCCCGACCCAACATTTTCTATATTCCGAATATTGCCTTGGATCAATTCATATACTATCATAGCATGTTCCCAGAGTCCATCAGAGAAAGGAGTAGCAGCAATAAGGCATTCCTCTTGAGGGTAAGCTGGCATATGGCTTGCTCGGGGCATTGTTAGATCCTATTGGTATCAACTACGTTAGTAGCTCATTAGAATATGATACTTGGTGGTTGTAAAGCAGAAAAAGTACCTGGGATGTTTGATGCTCTTGTTGTGCAGGCAGCTTGGGTCCGCTCTGTTGAAGCCAATTCATTATCTTCCTCGTGCATTTCAATGTCTGGCTCGAAGTTGTTCTCGTCCGAGTCGTTATCCACTTTAACAACTCTTATATCCCTCTGTGTGATTTAAGAAGAAACCAGGAAAGAAGATTGGGGGTCTATTGGACTGAAAGAAAAAGGTGCAGCCGTTCTGTCGAATATGGGAAGGTCGAGAATAAGTGAAAAGGGGAAAGAAGTGAGATAAAGGTGGGGAGAGGAAAATAGAAAGTAGAGGTGCTACTGCGTTTGTTTTTGCAAGTGAGTGAATATGAGAGGAGTTCGCCATCTAATGAATGGCTGGGCTAATTTAGGGTAGCAGACAGATTATTTACACAGGCAGTGCATGATAGCCGGTGTGAGGTCTCTACTTATCGACATGGGCAAAATTGTAGACATCGGTGAAACGTAGCCTTCCACTGTGGGCAGCCCATGTAGTGCTGGTGCCATTCTATTATTTAATATACAATATCATCTCACTTGGAGAGCTCTATCACCCTCTGTTTAGTCTTAGATGTCGTTATAGGCCCTGAGGGTCCGCTCGATCAGCTAGCCCTCTCTGCTAGCTTGTGGGATCATGTAGGGCTATTCGGGCGGTGAAACGGTTGGCCATTGTAAGGTGAAGCTTTGCAGTGTAATATTGATATATTGTCTTACTATGCTGGTGAATTCACTAGCTGCTGGTCCGCTAAAAATGGAACGTTCCATGTGACTATAGCTATACTTCCCGACAGGGGTTGCTTCCAAATTAAACCCAGCGTATATAATACAAAGGTCTTATAGTTAGCCCTAGTCTACGCTGTTGCGGTTAGCTCCTCGATGCTGATTCTACTATACTAGAGCTACTTTATCTGGATTCCTGATACTATTATAAGGCCATGCAGCTGATTCTACCGATTTTATGACACTGCTAATTCTACTGTACTAGAGTTAAGTTGGTCATACTACATAATATCTATGAATATGGGTGTTGTAATATATCAATATTTGTGGCATCTGCTATTCTAGAATAATGGTGATATATAATGCAAGTGGTATGATTGGCGAAACGTTGTGTAGTCCTAATTCCGATCGCCGGGGGTCCGGGGTACTACAAGTCCGCTGACATCCTTTTATTGAAGGAGGACCTATCTGCATCCTATAAGGAATAGAAATATCTGTCAATGACGTCTTCTGCAAGGTCCTGAAAGCGAATTATCTACCCATGCTAAATAGGCATAGCGGCCTTCGGGACCCTTCCCGACGTCAGCCTTTGTATTTCCGTCCCTCCATTCCAGCCACTACCTGAAGTTCATATAAGTTTTATATCAATCAAAAGCTAAAGAGTTACATAGAAAGAGAGGCAAGATGACCGAGTGGTTAAGGTGCTCGACTCAAGCGTTAAATATAATAAGCTTGTTCTGGTTCACCAGGGTGCTTTCGAGTGTCGCAAGACGCGTGGGTTCGAATCCCACTCTTGTCAAGAGTTTTTGCCACGCGCTGCGCACCGTAGCTCCACGGGAGCCGCTTGTTCCATCCAGCCTATCTAGATATCCCACCTGTTTTCAGAAATACTATATCCGTGTCCCTACAGTTCTTTTTTGAACAGAAAGAATCATCCGCTGTACAATCGCTATCCAAACTTCAGTCACTACTATAATAATACTCCACGAATCCAAATTTACGATGATCGCTGTTACGGAGTAGAATAGAATGATGAATCACGAATGATCAAGAGAACTATAGGACTGCCACTATACTGTAGTAGCTATGGGTTTGGTTATAATATTGGGTGATGCGCTTGCTAGCGGCACCCTTCCCTTAAGGAACCAATGTATCAATCCATGTTTGAGCCCATTTCCATCTAGGTTTTACGTGAAGGACTCGTCACAATGAGGGTAGTGGCATTTTATGTTGCGTTAAACAAGCCGAAGGTAAATATGCGTCTCTCAGTCAAATTTATCACAAGCCATGGCCACGGGTGGATAAATGCGGAGCTGAACTGCCATGCTGCAAGCAAATAGATATCAATGAGGTTAGGTTGCCTTGACAGCTTGTTGTCCCTTTCAGCGTGGCATAGATAACCTCTACTTTCTATTCCTAGGATCCAAGCTCAACATTTTACCATCGTCCATAATACTTACGCTTCGATCGCATCAATAGCACTGGAGCCATTATAACCTCATCACATTAATACTCGACACACCAGTGACTATTTAGTAGTGACACTATACTCTATACAAGGCATAAAAAAGCCTAGTCTTGCACAGCGAGAAATTAGTCTCATACGTTTGACTCCAATGGGCGGGTGGTCAACGCATCATGACTGCCTCCCATCTGTAACCCTTCGAGTGCCCTCGGAATTTCCTTTGGGGATTACTATATAATTAATGAGCGAAGACTATAAAACCTATATCTAACTGAATCCCTCTGGTAAATTAGGCATAGTGTCTACAAACACACCAATTCCATAAAAGCCACTACATCTCCCTCCATCGGAATCTCCTCCATATACGCCCGGAGCCCATTCTTGCTCTATACCCTGAAACTCTCCTCATTCGTCATATTGCAGGCCGCAAAAAGCTTCTCTATCTGCATCTCCGTACCCTCCCTCCGCGGCAGCGCCCACCATGCCTCTACCACAGCCGCAACAGCATCAGTCGCACAACCCCGTCCCCAGAACTCAAGGTGGATTACGAATCTAACGGACGGAGTCGGATCTAAGGTATTGATGCCGACATCACTACTGATCCGCTCGGATGACCACGAAGAAGAAAGCTCGACCCTCGATCCCTGCTGCGTCGGGGGTGGTGAAGGTCTTTCCGGCCATCCATCGCTGGGTTTGGGAAATGTCTGTGTCGGGGGTTTTAGGCTATCTGGAATGAGCTTTAGTGGGGTGGTTATTTCTTTCTTTGTCGTTTTACTCATAGCTAGTCTGTTACTTGACTGAGAGAGCGCAGGCTGAAGATGCCCTTTGCGTCGCGAGCATGGAGCGGACGAAGGACTAGGCGGATGTCTGGATGAAGGAGGTCTCTGCGAGTATGAGGACTGTTGGTGTCTGTTTTGAGTGCATGTTCCGTGCAAGTATTTAGTTTCCTAGTATGTTGTTGAGACAGATGTATCGTTTAGAGTGATGGGTTACTATACTGTGTTCCATTGCACTTGGGGAGAGAGGGGATGTGGCATTCACTCGCTGCGGCCTTGCTGACAGCTCAGCTAATTGACTTGGACGTTTAAGTCAAATTCACTACTAACTAAGATCCGGCAAAAGATCAACCAGGCTGTATATAGGTTTCTGAGTATTGAAACCCATGGCCTAATCGGTGAGAAAATTCAAGCTTTGGTTGATATAGTCAACAATAAAGACACACTTCAACAATTGGCCGGCTGGCCCAATGGTAAGGCGCTTGACTACGGATCAAGAGATTGCAGGTTCGAATCCTGCGTCGGTCAATGTTTTTGTCTGTTGCCCGTCCATCCGGGATATATTTTCTTCTGTTATCCCAAATTTTTTGGTTCGCTTACCCACGTATATCTGGGTTCTTCAAGCCAAGCTTTTTCGCCAGATACCCGACCTTCCCCCCCCGATAGACCAATCATATCTCCCATATCGTATCTAGTGTTGCCCTTGCTGGCATCACCAATACTACCTATAGTATGATGGCTACGTTGACAACTTTGGTCTCAATGTCGCTAACATCTGATTGTCTACAACTATTTCTTTCGTGCCGTAGAGCTCTACCCTACATGCCTAAGCATGTCTCTCCTTCATCTGCTGTGGGCAACTACAATTCATGCTTCGTACATGCTGCTCAGTAATGGATGCTGCATACATACAGATAGAAATTGGAAACTTATTCATCAAGCACAACTGGATATTGAATCCGGCCTGTAACAGAGATAAAATAATGCAAGACAACACGGCGTCGGCAATCTGAAATACGCCAGCTCGCGCCACCCCGAACTGAAAGATCAACAAACAACGTGAGACACGAACAAGGAATGAAGGGATGAACCGCCCTCAGTACAGGAGTTATATCAACAGTAACACCGAATTCCCCAAAACTTGACCTGACCAATTTCCACCTCTCTTTCGTCACGACTCGACTAATTTCTCTTGGGTACGTACACATGGCTGCCTCGTTTTGTTCTACCATTGGCCTTAGCATTCACTAACGCCGACACGGATACTAGGCCGTATCTATTGGAACTCATCCATCAACTGACAAGATGAAGCTCTCCATCGCGGCGCTCCCTTTCTTCCTCGCTGCCTCTATAGCTGCGCCTCTTCCGGTGTGTTCTTCCGTCCATTGAAGTTCCTCTGAAGACTATTTTGGGTGCTGACTAGAGGTAAAGCCCAAACAGATCGAGCCCCGACTGGAAGGTAGTAATCTTGCTAGTCTCATAGCGAGTTCTGGAGGTATCCTTTCATTCGTGAAGATATTGGGCGATGGTGTCCAGTTCCCTGGCAAGGACGAATTAATGAAACAACTGGACAAGAATAATAGCTAAGAGAATGGGGGTTTTGTTGTTTTGCTTTTCCTTGCTCTTCTCCTTCTAGACATGAGTACTGGATATTTTATGTCGTTTCAGAGGTGTCAAGACAATGAGTGCCATTCTTTCATGCTTCATAATTCATGGCTATGGCTATAATAATAACAACATTGCATCATATCGTAACAGGTCGAGTTTTCATCGAGTAGAGCGTGCCATCAGTAACAAGAGACCTTGCTTCGGTCGTAAAAAATTTAAACGATTGTGTCGGGTATCCCTGGATAGAAAAAAAAAAAAAAAACGTAGCATCAGGATCTTAGTCTTCCATGTAATCGTCCACTTCCACTCTCGTCCCCAATGCCTGCTTCCCCTCCTTAATCATCGCCTGCAGCTGTCGGTTCAGCCGAGCTAAGCTCTCATCCTCCTCTCGCTCTATCCTCCGCTTCTGGGCCATATAGCGCTGCGTCTCCACGGACACAGGACTCTCACGCGGCTTAGCCGGCGCCGAGAAGTGCGACTTGGCCGATATAGACGGCGGTTGCGATACAAATGTCCTCTTCACCGGTTGTTGCCTCCGACGCAAGTGGCTATACGAAGACGTCCTCCGATGCACTCGCCTCTGGGTAGATGGGCTAGCCTCATACCCGTGCTCATCATGGCCCACCACAACCCAGTTGCGATGCAAGTCATCATCAGCACAATCGCCCGAGAGGAGCGTCGACCCGCTTTGGTCCTGCGGCGCAGTAGTAGCAGCAGCCATCGATGACAAGAAATCGGGTTTCTCCGTCGGCTGCCATGAGTAGTCCTCGCCAAGGGACGGATCACCCCCAGCCGTCATCGAATACCCACGGCCACCCCCGGCATAAAACCCCCGGAAGGCGCCCGACCAGCAGAAATCCCACACCTTCCCGACGACATCCAGCACCGCGCGACTCCAGCGCACGGGGGCCACCTGCGGATCGAAGCTGGTGCTCTGCGCCAATTTCTCATCCTCGGGGCCGGACGGGGACGGGGCCACCACCGAAGACGGATCCCGACGGCTGCGTTTGCGACGGGCCCCGGAGGCTTCGCTCAGGGATTCGACGCTGGAATCTAGGGGGAGCTTGAGCGGTGGGTCTCGATAACGGCTGGGTCGGTAGTCATGGTCGGCGGAGACATCGTCTACTCCCGCGAGACGATCATCGGGCGAGATGAACGAGGTGGGACTGGATGGGGATTCGAGCCATGATCGGTGGTCTAGATCCACTCCACGCTGTCTTTTGCGGCTGGGGATGGCGATGGAGCGAAAAAGGGCCGATGAGGCGGACGGGTTCGGGGGCAGGAAGAGCTGTGAGGGAGCACCGGCGAGATCAAGCTGAGGTGGGATGGGCGAATCGAGAACGAAGGAACTGGTGGGCATTTCTTTAATGTTGTCCCCTTTGATTTTGTGAGAAATTAGGGAATTTTTTTTCTATTTTTTGCCTTGTGAAATTTCTGTATCGACCGGGGAAAACGAGAGGTTGGGAAAGAGAGAGAACAGAGTAAAGGTGAAGCAAGAGAGAGGAAAAAGATGATAAAAATCCGGGAGGCGGGATTAATTAGTGAGATTTACCCCATTAACTCAACTACTAATTAAGTTGGTTTCACCACAGCAACACCCTTGACAATCATTCATTGAATGGTCCATTATTTACTCTTTTCTCATTTAAAACCGAAATCCGTTACAGCTTCTGGCTCGTCCATTGCACTCCCGCTGCGTCCAATCCCTCTTCTCCATCGACTAAGACACACCATCCTTCACTTCCTGCGCCTCCGTCTCCAGCCACCACCGCCGGGAAGTGTTGGTGGGCGAAGCCTAAGACTGCATCATCAAACGTTCCGGGTTGTAGCCACACCGCTTCAATTCCTACCGAGTGCGCCTCCTGGAGCAGTGGCAGAGTCACTCCTGGTGGGGTCACAACCGACAAGGAGGTCTGCGAAGGCGTGGGCAAACTGCGGGGCGATGCGACC